TTTGGCAAGATTTGTACGATACAAAAACCATGTAAATACAGACGAAAATAATGTAATAAAACAAAGTATAATAGGATAGTCTCATCTTGCAAATATGCACTATTTAAAATTAATCAATTCTCCAAACATTATCAGAAGAAAACTATCATTTAATTTGTCCACTTCTCACTTAGCAGTTATTGAGCTTTATCATATATAAAATTGTCTTCAGTAGGTGCAGAATTATTTTGTCATTTCACATCACGATCCCAAACAGATTTAGTGGCTTTAAACCAGTGTTAAAATAATGTCTTTTAAAATTATTTTATAATTAATCACAGACTAGTTCATTAACCATCATAAAATGTATTTTCTTTTCTCCTCCATCGCTTATTTTGAACTCTAATACTGACTTCAGGGTCATCCATTTTATCTTCTAAAATTATTCTTGCAGTTGATTATTTGTGTTTTGTATTGTTGAAAAGGCAGAAATTTCTAATTTTCAAAAGAGAATATTCAGATTTTGAGTCAACCAAGTTTCAGTGAAGATAGAATAGCATGCTAAGCTCATCAGTCTCTTGATTTATTAAACAAACATTACCACCACTTCATTAATACCTTTCAGGAATGAAACCACTTTTCCAAATGAATGTTTCCTAATTTATTTTAATATATTAAGAATAAAACTAAAATATATCCATACATCTGTTGATGGACATTTAGGCTGTCTCCAAATCTTACCTATTGTGAACAGTGCTGCCACCAACATGGGTGTGCAGATACTGCTTCGATATACTGACTTCTTTTTCTTCTGGGTATATACCAAGCACTGGAATTGCTGTATCATATGGCAGCTCTAGTTTTAGTTTTTTTTGAGGAACCTCCAAACTGTCCACAGTGTTTGTAATGAATTACATTCTCAACAGCAGTGTGTGAGGAGTCCCTTTTCTCCACATCCTCTCAAGCATTTGTTATTGCCTGTCTTTTGGACATAAGCCATTCTAACTGGGGTGAGATAATATCTCATTGTAGTTTTGATTCGCATTTCTCTGATAAACGATGATGTTAAGTACGTTTTTAAATGCTATTAGAAAGATTTAAGACTTATAAAGTTCACAAATCCCTAACCTGTTTACTTACCTTCCCATTCTAATTTATTTTATCAAAATAATGTAATTACACGATACTTCACATTTTTAAAGCATTTCTACATGTACAACTTTCTCTTCTCATTATTTCTCAGTGTACTTCTCTTTCATTTTAATCCAAAACTCGTTGCATTAAAAAGTTTTATACATTTCCCTATTTTTCTTCCTAATGGCTTTTTCTTAATAATTATTCTTAAACAATGTTGTAGCTTGCTACTCTAAAAGACCACAAAACAAACAGTTCTGTTTGATACACTGCTTCATGAAGTCTTGAAGACTTCAATATTCCACAACAGTTAACATCTAGTCAGAGGGAGTTATTTACACAGACTCAATTATGACTAAAAATTCTACTGGGCTCTTCTCCAACTTTAAGAAATCTGTTGAATAACCATTCCAAATTCCAAATGAATGACAAGTTACCAGCATGTCATGTAAAATGGGCTTTAGGGCATAAAAAGCAGATAAATCAAGACATACATATGTCAGACAGGGAAATAGAGGTGAGTATAAAACGAGATTCTGTGACGAGAATGGACCACTCAACTCATATATTCATTGTTTTCCACATTTCTATTCCATAGAAGGATATTTGACTTCTTAGTTAAGTTACCAATACAGATAAATTACTAGGTGTTTTCCAAGATGAAGCAGAATGAAGATTAACGCACTGAACTATTACTGAAGTATCTATATTAAGGAAAATATTCATATTGATTCCTATGCACATTAAGAATTAGAAAAAATTCCACCACGGTGAGCATTTAAAGCACCTTGGCAATGTATGTATATACATACACACACATGCACACTTGTGCACAAACATGCGCACAGTTACTATTGACATCCATATGCTTTCATTTATTCAAATTAGTTACGTGAATGTCTCCTTTCTAGTCTTTTTTTCTTTAATCAATACACAAATATATTTCTATAATATTTCAAAAACACAAGTGTAAAAGGTAAAAGGCATAAATCCCATTTACTCCTCCATGATCTCATACCACTCTCCAGAGTTGTTCCTCTCTCGGAAATTTGCTGTAGGTTTATGCACACATATATAGTTTTTTTTTTTTTTTTTTCTTTTTAACATAAATGGTATCATACTCTAAACAGTGTGACTTTATCAGGTTCATCTGTCAGAGATATCTGATTGTTGGAGATACGCAATAAGCCCTTTGACTACATGTGTTTGAACTATGCAGGCTCATGTATATGCGGGTTTTTTCTGTCTCTGCCACCCGAGACACCCTTCCTCTTCCCCTTCCTTCTCAGCCCACTCAGCCCAAAGACAACAAGGATGAAAACCTTTCTGATGATCCACTTCCACTTAATGAATAGTACATGTATTTTATCTTCCTTATAATTTTTTAAATAACTTTTTCTCTAGCTTTTTATAACAATACAGTGTATAATGCATATAACATATAAAATAAACGTTAATCAGCTGTTTGTTATCAATAAGGCTTCCAGTCAACAGTAGGTTATTAGTTGATAAGTTTTGAGGCAGTCAAAAGGTACATGTGGATTTTTGACTGCACGGGATCAGTGCCCCTAACACCCACATTATTCAGGGGATAATTATTTATATATATGGGTATGTGTGTGTATTTTTTTCTTTTAAAAGTCTTTATCATATTGCATAAAATGAATGAATCAAACAATAGACATACTTTCTGTGTCTTCTGCTCTGTGTGTTTCAAACTATATTTTTCTCCATCCTTCCGATTCTACTTGCTTTCCGTTTTTCAAATTTTTTAATTTACTTACGGGAATTTTTCTAATTTTCCCTCACTAATTATGAATCATGTTTTTAAAGCTACATTTCATATTATTTCATGGAATGTAGGATAAGAGAAAAGACAAAAAAGTGTGCTCAATAGCCTACCTGGATCCCATTTCCGAAAACATGGCATGAGACTGAAATAGTTACGCTAGGAAACCACCCATGGATACCAAAATGGAAAAGAACTAGTATCTGGGAGATGTCTTTGAATTGTACCACAAGAGATATTAAGCTGGCTTGCACTGGTAGGAACTGATCTGCTTTTATAACCAGAGTCTGTTCTGATGAGTTGGCATCTACGTCATACCAGGTGTTACATATTTTGAAAACCATTCCTGATGTATAGTAACATAATTCACAAATCATTACTAAAATGTCTCCTCATCCTAGTTGATGGATAGTAGAAATTTTCTTTGGGTATTAAGTGTCACCAAAGAAGAGAACAGGGTAGAACCCAACTTTCTTATCTTTTAAAGTCCATCTCCCAGTGACTATAATAATGTCTTGTTCATCAACATATCCTTGGTGCCTGGAACAGTGCCTGGACCATAATAGAGACTCGGAAAATATTAATAAACAAATAAACCTATATTGAATAACGTTTGGCTTCTATTTTCTCACTTGTAAAACAAGTTAGATCAAATCCCTAGTCATCCTAAAATTGAAGATTTTATAATTTCATTTATAATTCAATAGTTTCACATATCATTAAATCTACTAAGCAAAATGAAAAATCATAGGTTTCATTCTTTCAGACAATTTCATCATGTATTCACTTCTGAAGATAAACACCAATAATAAAGATAACAACAAAACTTTCTAAAATTATTTTATTTTTTATAATTTTCTAACACACAGTGTTAGAAAATGAATTTTGGCACCATGATTAAGAACTTCTTTTCAAGTTTAACCTTTACATTAAAAACAGTAGCTACAATAGGGATATTTCAACCTTACTTAGAGAAATGATAAAACATCAAGTCAACAAATATTTTTGTTGGAGAATTTTTTTATAAGTGGGATAAAGGGAGGTTAATATAGACACTCAGAAGAATAAAATGGAAATTATGTCAGGAAGATAAAAAAGCAAATAACCTTCCCCCCAAAAAAAGAATAAGGAGACAAAGGGCAAAAGGGAAGAAGCAAGGCTCAACAACTTTGTTTTCCTGATATAAAATTCAAGTACTTAAAAAGTGTTTTTTAAAAAATAATTAAATGCACTACTCATCTCAATGAACTTTTTCTTTTTCCTCACTATTTTCTAGAACTTTCTAAAAAAGGAAACAAAGAAAAAAAAAAACCTGTTTTGACTTAAGGGCACTTGCTGATCTTGACACTTGATAATACTTTAAGAAATGGAAAGGTTTTCCTAAATCTAATACCTGCTTAATATAATCCACTTTGGAAGATTCATCTGAAGAAACATAGGGTTTGATTTTTAATACAAAGGTAAAATAATCTGCCTTACAATCAAAACAAAAATGTTTTCAACTATATACGCTCCTCGGTTGTGTTTTGTACTAATTTTCTTTCTTTTTTTTTTTTTTTTTTTTTTTTTTGAGACGGAGTCTCGCTCTGTCGCCCAGGCTGGAGAGCAGTGGCGCGATCTTGGCTCACTGCAAGCTCCACCTCCCAGGTTCACGCCATTCTCCTGCCTCAGCCTCCGGAGTAGCTGGGACTACAGGGGCCCGCCACCACGCCCGGCTAATTTCTTTTTTTGTATTAGTAGAGACAGGGTTTCACCATGTTAGCCAGGGTGGTCTCTATCTCCTGACTTCGTGATCCGCCCACCTAGGCCTCCCAAAGTGCTAGGATTACAGGCTTGAGCCACCGCGCCCGGTCCCTGTACTAATTTTCTTGAGGAAAACGTTGTGTAATTTTTTGTGTGTTCCCTTAGTAACTACTGTAAATAAGACCTGCATAGGTGTTCAAAAAAGTACTTAGTTGCATACAAATCCAGTTAGAATCTGATTTTCAAGGTTTTAAAACATGGTAATTCATTTATACCCATTTTGTCTATATTTCCTCTATATTTTGATAAATAAAAATCTTCCCATGTTTTTAAATAAGAAAATATTAGTCTTGTCATTTGTACCTAAATATTTTATCAACTTGAAACACAAATTCATAAATTGTCATTTTTCTCAGAGGCAACAAAGCATAGAAATAAATATTTAAGATTTTTCTTTCTTTTCTTCTTCAACCTGTGTTTTAAGGCTCAGAGCAGACATTAAGAAATATCAAACAATTTTTATAAAAAGTTTTTCAAATGTTTGGCCCAAAGTGAAGTTGTTCTGTTGACGCTATTTAAATATTCCTCTCATATTCTCAGACACAACTTCAAAGACGTGTTCATGCCAGTCATTCGTCCAAAGAAATTTCAATTCAATGAAAAGTAAATAACTTAGGGATCTATAAATGACACTGCAATGTATCTTGTTCCATTTTTAACAGGAAGTCCTTCATGCAAATGTGTGAGTCTCCCAGGATGCATGAAGCTCCAGCCTTTTCGTGGTGATTCAATAGAGCAATTGTACCTTAGAAATTTGCAACCACCTCCCTAAAAAAGTTAAAATGAAGGAATATATCAGATTATATTTAACCAGCGGCAAAATTCAAATTATGTCATTTGAGCAAAATTCAAAAAAAGAAAGTAAGGCCTAAGGCAAAGTCCTTTTCATAATGACATATTTCTTTTGAAAAATCTAAAAACACAAAAGTCATAATTACCTGAAAGTCTTCTCCCACATTATTAAGCGCAATGTTTATGGTAAATGTAGAAGCATCATGATGAGGACGAAGAGAACGCTGTCTTTCAGGGGAGTATTTTACTACAAAATTCAGTAGTGCAAATCCCTGAAAAAGCAAAGTAAGCCAGTGGATTTGCTTATTAATAAAAACATTAAAAAGAACACCTGTGTAAAAGTTGGTAAGAAAGAGGCTGGAGGGGTGGGAGGATAACTACCTTCGTATAGTAGCCTGCAAAGACCTTCAGTGTAACTGGTGCAATGAACTCCCGGATAAAATGAAGCCATACATTCTCCAGATCAACTTGCTTCATGTGGATATCATCAGTTGGGACATTTTCATAACCACCAGATATACGGCTATCCTAGAAACATTGATGACATCATAGGTGTTGTCCACGTGCAATTCCCATTTATATTATAGTTTTTTTTCAACCACAGATCATAATAGACAAGAAAAATAACAGTAGTTCCAATGTGGCATATCATCTGCTTTAACTGTAAAATTATCAAAATAACTTAGGTAACATCTTTGTCAATGATACAATGATGAAACAAAGTAAATAAGGTCAGTAGACTCCTTTCCTACTTTTTATATGTATATGTAAAGTTTAACTATAAAGTAAATAAAATTGACTTCCTAAGCCCTCATATCCCCTCTTAAAAATGAGTCTTTTTTTACACTGACCCTTTAGGCAGTCTTAGCTGCTAGATGAGCATATTGATGGCATATCTGCTTTCTGTATTACCAAATACTGAAAACAAGCTTTCCCCGCCCTTCCTCACTTCTATATTTGTAACACTCAAAAGTCTTTAAACGATTGCTTTTCATTATTTCACCACCTACCAACTTTAAGTTTTTCCTTATACTTTAAGCTTCCCTCTCCCTTATCAGCTCATTAGCTGGGGGACATAATCGTGCAGAGGCAGTAATATTCCAGAGTATTCTACTAAAATGGCATGTGGTTCTCAGAGGAAAAGAAACATATCTAACCACTGGCAGGGGTATTTCCTGCCAAGTCTTTGACATTGAATGCAAATGCAAAACTGAATTACACCTAAGGCACTCAGATCCCTCCTTCCTATCTTTACACACAAAAACACAGTTTTGACAGATAAAGTTTGCCTTAGAATTTTCACCACAGCTCACTGTGAAAATGCAAGAATAAAAAGTGGCCTTGGAAAACAGTGGTATCACTCTAAGACATGTGTTACCTAACATTAACTCTGGCCTGAGGACACTGACCCTTAGCAAACATCCAGTGTAATCAAATGCATAAATGAGAAACCCACCCACCCAGACTGATGAAATTACTTAAGTGTTAAATAATTGGTTGGTGGGAGAAGTAGACTGAAATCAGAGCCTTGGCTAGTCAATTTTTCTAGGTCTAGAACTCAAAGACATATGAGAAAAAGTGTATAACCCCTCAGAATTATCTGAGTATCTACTTAACCCACACACACATTTTAGTTCTTAGTGTGAAATTACGACTTACATGATGTTTTCCCCCAGACCATTTGCCGTAATGTTCCATTTCTTCTACTAATTCATCACAGGCTTTTTCAGAAAATATGGGGAACCAAAAGACATCTGGACAGGGCTATAAAATACGCATCATTGTTAGAAGACATAATAACTTCGGTGTCTTAATAGTCTAAAATAGTTATTTTAATATGTATAAAATAAAAAATCCTATATGACTAGGAAACATAGTTTTCTTTCATGGTTTATTGACAGTATTTTTTTCTCATGGTACATAAATAATGGTGCACTTCAGAATTGATGACATCTTACATTCTCAAAAATTAGGTATTAACAATAGTTTTGAACAATAGCTAAAAGAGAATTCATGTTTTGAAGATGTCTCTGAGAAAAGACTCTTTCAGAAAGAGAGCCAAGTCTCTTCCAAAGATAAGCTTTCACTGTAAGAGTTCTACATCAGAGATCTGTCAACAGTTCCTATATCTAGTGGTGTCAGAAAGCTATGACACTTAGGAGCATGCTTTTTAAAAAGGCATGCTTTTAAAATGTTAATTTCTATGTTCTACATTTTACAAGTGTATGTTCCTTAAGGCTATTTAATCGGTAATTGAGTCACATAAATTTTACCTGAAAGGTAGTTTCTCCACTTTCACATCTTCTGTGAAAGTAGTATTATATTAATAATATTTCTTCTGGAAAATAACAGCAAAATTTTCTATACTTTGTAATCATTAATACAAACCTGTTCAACTATATTTTCAGTGAAAATCTTTGAATAATCACGGTTTATATACTTTTCCTTCCAGTCCTATAAAAAGAAGTACATATTAAAACAAATATCTTTATAAATACTGAAAAGTATAAAGCATATACATTTTAGAAATTATTCAACTTATAAATGATTATGTATAGTGGACAAAATAGTAATTTTCAGAAGCCACAGTATATGGTTTAATCTTTGCCTGGTTCTGAATATGCTTATGTCATTCTATGAAATACAAAATTTTTATTTATGAAATACTGTACCTCAGGATTTTTTAACTTAAGTAATCTTATGGTGAATAGATTTACACATTTTACAGATGCTCCTTGACTCACGATGACGTTATGTCCCAATAAACCCGTGGGAGGTTAAAAACACACAATACCCTGATAAATCCATCATAAAGTTGAAAATTCCTAAATCAAGTCACCATAAGTTGGGGACCATCAGTATTTTAATATATACACAGAGTAGGTAAACAAATGCGTGCTTAAAGGTAAAAGACAAGGGGCAAAATTCTACCAAAAATATTTGTAAAAATGAATTAGTGAATTAATTAACTAGGGTCTGTCTTATATGTCTATAGTACATTATTGTTTTTTTGATTTTTTTAATGAATTTTAAAAATTTCTGCCTTCACTTCAGTCATTAATATTTATCAAGGAATAAACATGAGTTTACTAGCACTTTCACTTCTTTCAGTTACTAAAATAAGGGTTAGGGCTCTATACTGAAAAACAGTTCCTCTTTATTCTAATTCATGAATGTGATTCTTTTTGACCAATCTCTGGCATAAAATCCACACATAAAGATATCTAAACTTTTTTCAACAGAAGCTAAATAATTATTTTATTGGGTCAAGTTCTTTATGCAAATATGGGTATTTACTAAAACGTGAACATATTAATATATGGAGTGATACAAGTATCCAAAAAGATCTCTTAAATTTAGAATATTTCTAGAAATTGTTAATTTTCTCTTTACAAAGTGCAAATACAAAGAGCCAGCAAGGAGGAAGTGAGACACAGATTCAAAATAATTCCAATCAAAAGATGCTTCAAAAGATATTTGCCTTAAACACATCTTTTGAGGCTCCATTTTAGGGTCTGAATATTTATATAATAATTTATGTCGTTAGTTTTGTATATCTGTTTATATGGAACTCAAACATTTTTCATGTGGAGGAAACAAAGGTAATCTTTAAAATTTTAATAAATTTCATGTTTATATGGTATATGTGGATCAGATTTCTATATTATCTCGTTATTCCCTCTAATATAAATTAGCTTTCTGATTCTAAAATATGGGAAGAAACTGAATAATCATCCATAAGATTTAAGAATTTTTACCTATAGCATTTTTACCTGTGCATCAATACTGATTTTTCTTCAAGTAAAAAAAATCCCCCAAGATTTTATTTTAGGGCATTAGTATTAACATTTCATTTTAGATCACCTTTTAAATCATTGAGTAAACTGTGACTTTATTAATTTCTTAGATATTCTGATAATGGGATAATCAATATGCATGTTGCTACCGGGTGTCCCTCACGAAGAATATTAAACAGGTTGATTTAACAGAGAACAAAGAAAGCTATGGAAAGAAAAGTTGTTCCTACTCAGTTCTGATGTTTTCATTGCTTACTTTCCAAAGACTTGAATCCTTGCACAAATATCTACAATTCAGGATATAATTCAGGACATCCTACCAGGAACCTAATGACATCCAAGAAATCAAATAATTCTATCCCTTAAGAACACCAAGAGATTCAATGGTGAAGTGAAATATGGAATTCTACCCTCACGACTAGAAAACACCTCTTTTCAACTTTACTTCTGTGAAAGAGGAAAGTATGTGGCTAAAATGGTACAAAAGTACTTTTAAAATAACAAAATGTCAAAAGATGTTATATTCCTATTCAGAATATTCAGAGATTACTACACTTACTATCCCCGTATCTTAACTATTCCTACAAAACAAAGGACAACTCTCCTCAGGTGGATTTAGTCTGCAATTTAAAACTTTTACTATTGGCAAGGGGAAAATCATTACAGCTGTGTTACAGGTCTGATTGTTGAAGAGAGTATTTTCCCCTGAATAAGTGTGCCACTTGCCTAACAAAAAGATGTCCCTGTAAAACACAAAAGGAGCTAATTACTGTAGATTCAACTCTGTTAAAAAAAAAAAAAAAGAAAGAAAGAAAGAAAGAAAGAAGAAAACAGATGTTAAAAAGAAACCGTTTCTTCAAGTTAAGACTCTCTTCATATGCTGAATCAGTGTTCTCTGCAATTCTCTCTGGCTATCTTTGATGTACATTCACAAAATTGCCAAAAAATAATTTAAAAAATGTATTTTCCTAAACAAAATTCTTGAATTTTCTTCTAAAAAATCAAACTATTATAATATGTGAGCTATTTGTAGACATGCTTCTAAAATTATGATTAAAACTGGATGCTGCTTTTGAATACACAAAACAAAAATATTAGAATATTGGAAGACAACAAATTGGTAATTTCCTTCCCCAAACCTAATAACTGTCCTAATAAAAAAGAAAGTTATTGGTCAAGTTTAGATCTACTGTATAGATCATGAAATACAATTAATTATGTCGTTTAAATTTTTTTCTTTTTATTTACTTTTTAAAAATAATTTCAGCTTTTGGATTCAGGCAGTATATGTGCAAGTTTGTTACAAGTGCATATTGCATGATGCTAAGGTTTAGGATATGACTGATCCCATCACCAAGGTAGTGAGCATAGTACCCATTAGTTGATTTTTCAACCCTTGTCCTCCTCCCTCCTCCCTCACTCCTCTAGTGATCCCCATCATCTACTGTCCCTATATTTATGTTCACAAGTACCCAATGTTTGGCTCCCACTCATAAGTGAGAACATGCAGTATCTGGTTTTCTGTTCCATTAATTCACTTAGGTGTAATAGCCTCCAGCTCTATCCATGTTGCTGAAAATGACATAATATTGTTCTTTTTTATGGCTGTATAGTATTCTATGGTGTGTATGTACCACATTTTATTTATCCAATCCATCATTAACGAACACCTAGTTTGAGTCCATGTCTTTGCTACTGTGTGAATAGTGCTGCAATGAACAGATACAGATGCATGTGTCTTTTTGGTCAAATGACTTATTTTCTTTTGGCTATATACCCAGTAATGGAATTGCTGGGTCAAATGGTAGCTCTGTTTTAAGATCTTTTGAGAAATCTTCAAACTGCTTTCCAAATTGCTAATTTACATAGTGACCAACAATGTACAAGCATTCCCTTTTCTCCGTGTAGCCTCACCCATATCTGTTTTTGACTTTTTAATAATAGGCACTCTGACTGGTGTGAGACAGTATCTCATTGTGGTTTTGATGTGCATTTCACATTATGTCATTTTTTTAAAGCCTTTAACCACATTTCATATTATTAAACAACTGATTTATAACCACTTAGAGTTACAGAAAAATAATAAAGTTGAATATGAAATACATACCACAGGATTTTCAAAAATCTGCCAGAGGTCATTGTTATAATGAGAAGTATTGTAATTAGCAGTGGATAACAGCCTTCCAAATTCATGTCTATTAGAAATGTACATAAACACACCCTATATGCCAGAAAATAACAGCATTAATGTCAGAGGTAGGTACAAAAGTAAATTTAATCATATGAAAAATATACAGAAGATATTAATTTCAATTTTTGTATTTCATTTATGAACATGCATTTTTAGTATTCATATAAAAAGTGCCTGGTTTAAAATAAAAAACTCAAATTTTGATTATGAATTCAGACACCACACAAAACTAGTAGATAGCACTGACACTCAACTGAAAAAAAGAATGGACTGTTTTTATCCCTTTCTCATTGATCCTAGATGCAGACATCAGGGAAAAAAATTCCTGTTTGAAAGCAGAAATATTTTTGAGACACAGCGCAATGAATTATACCTCTTTTGGTTTCTTTCTCTTTCAAAGAAAGCATCACATTTTTAAACAAGAATTCACTGCCAGTCATATTTCACCAGTCTGTTTCATTCCTTTCTTTTTCTGATGTTTAAAGGCTAACGCGCAAAGGAGTTATGCATTATAAAGGCAGATAAAGAAAACCAGTCTCATATTCTTGCCCCAAACCAGACAAATGTGGAAAACACCACGAGGTAATGTTGTTTCTTTTTGGACCTGTTTTAATGGTAAAAGAGTTAGTGATTAATAACTCAATGAGGTGCACCTAAACCTTACTGTAATCAAATTCTATTTTATACCTACTTCTATCCCCTTCTCTCCCTTTAAAAAGAAATAAAAACCTAAAGAAAGAATGAAAGGGACTTAGGTTTAACTTTCTCACCTGTCAACCATAAAATATAAATCAGCTCAAAGAGCCAAGAGTTGACTATCGCACAAGACCCATGCCCAAGTCACACAAAACACACACACACATAAACAGATGACTGATGAATATCAACATTTTACCAAGCTAAATGCAAATAAGGCCCTTAAAGAAACTTTACTACTAGGCAATATACTATATCAAATATTAAATAAACAAAAATAAATAAAATAAGTAAAAATAACACCTTTGGGGGGCTGAGCATTTGGAATGTTTCCGGAGTAGGGGAGTCTTTTTCCCTTTGTAAAGTCTAAAATGAAGAGAAGCATTGGGTAAGTTGACCTGTACACCCGCTCTCTCAGGTATCCTTTGGTAAATAAAAATAATAGCAGCTGTTGATCAAAAGCTAACATTCTGAAATGTCCTTCATAGACAACATGCAGAACAAGCAAAGCTTATAGCGCACACAAAGAAACATCTCCAGCTCTTTCAGCCCTTTCTTTTCTTTTTGGGAGGTGTTGGGGGGTCAAACATAAGTCTAAGCTCATTCCTTAGCAGAATTTTCATTAGACACATAAGACAATGGAAAAAATGAGTGAGAGAGGCCATTCCATGATGCGCTGTTGAGTCAAATTAGCCAAACATGAGCACAAAATACAATTACATAATAATGCACATAGGTTTGTAGAGAAAACAAACATATTCAAACAACACATGCTTTGTTAAACTAAGAAAAAAAATACTTGCCAACTTTTCTGATTTTTCATCAAATCACAATTGCTTATATAAATTTGGAAATCAGAAATAAAATAGCCCTATCATTTCCAAAACCAAAAATCATATCAATATATTCTAAACCATATCTATACATTTTGAATTTTCTAGTCATTTTAAGTTTATTTGTAGTGCAGCAAGGTATCATTAGTATTTTATTTAGAGTAAATATACTACGTATCTCAACTTTTCTACTAGTTTGGTGATAATAATCCTGCTTTTTAAGAATGTGAAGTTAATAATAATTTTAAAATTTCACCTGGTTAGAGAAAATGCAGACATTAATTTTGGAACAAAAACATCCTTAAATCTGGAAATATTGTTTCATCAAAGCTTATCTAATTAATTTTAATTAGGTCAAGTGTTCACTATAGAATTTCAAATTAAAATAAAGATGTATTCTTAAAAGAGCAAAGCCGATTTGTAACAAACACAACTTTATTTTTGAAATCCAACTCTGTTGCCTATGAATTAGCCTGAGCACAAAAACTAACATTTTTCATGCCATTTCTACAAGTAAATGTTAAATTATCTCCAAAATTGCTCCCCAATTTTTAATACAGAACCAAAAAAATTGGCTAGTACTTACAAATTAGCAAGACAAAGGGCATCAAAACACAGTGACACACCAACTGGTAAAGCAAGCCATCTTACAAGAACATTCAAGCAAGCCATCATTGCATATCTTACCATTTCTCTAGCATTTCGGCAAAGAGCCATATCAGGATCCAGTTTATCACGAACAAAATAATTCCTTTCATTCATCTCTAATCGGAGTGTCTTTCCTTTAATTAAGTACACATTAGCCATGTATGGTACATTCCATACTCCTCTGAAAGCAAAGAGAAGACATTCTTAAATACCACAAATAGAAACAATTTTAAGTTTCATTTTTACCTTTTTAAAATAAATGCCTTGTGTTTAGATTTTGTATACACACATTATTGAATCAATATACAAATGTATTCAATGATATTTGCCCTATATATATGATTACATTTTTTATAGTATATTTAATGAGATTCAGGAGATAAACCACCCCCCCTTTGAATATATTTCAATTTTGGGTTGGTGTTTGTTTGGCGTTTTTATTATAGCTATCATATCTCAATCAGTTGTTACAATTAGACTACTATAATCTGTTATATAGAAGGTGTTTCTATTTAAAATTAAAGAATTTGATAGGATGAATCATAACACACAACCAGTGGTACACTAGACACAGCTCATACTGGCTCCCCAAAGTTAACTTTTACTGCCAAGTCCGTGTTCAGTAATTTCACATTGGAAACTTAAAATCAGCCATGGTAGAAGTATTTACTCCAAACAAATGGGCAAGCTGTTTAAACCAGGGAATCCTCCACCTCCAGAAGCCAGTTGTTACACATTGACCAGCATACCACTGAATACAGCCTAAAATTCTCCAAAACTATATTCTCTTACCATTCATTAAGCCATTTTAAATATTTTATAGAAAAAGGAAAACATGAAGAAATACAGTTGGTAGCACATGAATGTTGGAAGGTTCTTTTGTAATTCATCCTTTCCCACATCTATATTCTCACTCTGAAAATGACTCATTTCATAAAAACTGCAAAACAAGTTTTGCCTCTAAGACTGTGTGCCTTGCTTTTAGAGAACATGAAGGCAAGATCTTGACCAAGAAATGTAGTTAGATATTAAAAGAAATATGATATTGTATCTTACTAGACCAGCCTCAAAGAAAAATGCCTTAAGGAGTTACAGCAGTCCCCGCCTTATGTGAGGGTGATACATTCCATGACCCTAGTGGATACTTGAAAGCACATAGTACCAAACCCTACAAATATACTACTATGTTTTTTCCTACACATACAGACTTATAATAAAGTTTAATTTATAAATAAAGTACAGTAAGACAACAATAGAACTATAACAATATGCTGTAATAAAAGTTACATGAATGTTTACAATTTCTCTATCTCAACATATCTTCGTATTTTCAATCCACAGTCGACTTGAAACCATGGAAAGCAAAACCACAGATAAGGGGGAATTACTGTATAGAACGTATCAGCTAAATTCAGAAATTAATCTCTGGGGAATTATTCAGTGCTTCAGCTTACACACATACACAAACACACACACACACACACACACACACACACACAAAGTTGCTCCTTCGTGTAGCTTTTGGACATGAAGTGTATTCCAGTTCAAAAGCCTCTGTCATATTTTTTTTCTTATACTTTAGACAACAATGATAGGAGGTTGGACAGAAAATTACCAATGCCTAAAGCAATTTGAAACGAATTTTCCATTCTTCCTTCACAAACCCTCATTTCTGATGTGCCCAAGATACAATCAGGTATACTGTCTATACAACTCACCCAGAGTCAATACAACTGCATAGAAACAACAGAACACAATCTTAATAGCATTTTCTCCTCTACCATGCATTTTAATTGCAGCTAACAAAAACCTTTATTGTATTTACATCATTCAGATTGAAGCTTTCCATACCAATTACTATTTCAACAAGCAACACATCTTTTTACCACTCAACTATTTGAACAGAAACGTGTACCTTTTTTTTCTTCTAAATTTAAGGGCACATCCTTTTAGTCCTGAGAGTGTACTGCCCCTTTGTAATCAGGCTGACATGTTTGAGAACTAAGGCAAAGCATGTAATATCTTAGTCACTCTGGTCCATCATATGTATGAAAAGAAGAATGACATTCTTCCCCAATATTACCTTAGCAAAACTATTTCAATTGTGATTATTTTTAGTAATCAACCATTGTCTCTGAAATAAATATAAATCATGCATACTCTTTTCAGTAAATATATTCTTTTCAATCTCTAGAAGTAAAAATCTAGTATTTGTGAAAAAACTTACATTTAAAGCAGAATAATAGCTATTTCACACACAAAAACATCATGCAATCAGGAATACTGGAGTGTTCTGGCTGTTAGTGTTATTGTTGGCTTAATTATAAATTTTAAAACCTATCAAAACAACCCTTAATTATAACCATTAAAAAGTCAGTAAACTAAATCCCCTTTCCAAACTTTTAAATAAAGAGTATTACTCTTCTATCAACCATATTGTGAGTATGGTAACCATATATTATCTCTTAGTATTCCCCACAGCAATGAGCTTGTTCCTTTGAAGATTTGGGACTTTAAAACATTTTTTTAAAATATTAGTTTTATACTGGTATTTCAGGATTCCAAGTGGTCTTGGGTTCCCAAATTCCCATTAACTATAAAGAAAAGAGATGAATAAAAAAAAATTTCAAGTAATACTAATAAGACTACATCTTTAGATTATGATATTTCACATTAAAATATTAAATCAAGTAACTTACACTCTATTTCCTTGAACAATATCCACATAATCTTCAGATCGTGCATAGTATCCATCAGGACTCAATGCTCCCCAGAAATTGGACCACAGCTTTCCATGACGAGTTACAAGAGGAGCAATGATCTTTCTGAAGACAGAGAGAGAGTGAGAGAGAGAGAGAAACCTATATAATTATTTATTTTTAAATTACCACAGAATTATGTATTTTGGGCTTAGCATGACATATAACACAATAAAGCTCATTTAACAAACCTGCAGTTAATAAAAATAAAATAAGGATCTTCTTTCCCAACATCTTTGCTTAAATAAGTATATTGCTAATTTTCAACCATATTTCTTAAAAAAAGTAACAAAGAAGGAAAAAGTAATTGAAAATGCTAATGAATACATAAAAATGACTTTTAAAAATGCCTTGCTTACATCCAACAGAGGGAAACTACTTTAGTTATTTAATTATATTTAAGTTTAATTAAAGTATTTTGGAACCTATACTAAATGAAAACAAATATTTTTATTGTCACTTGGCAAACAGCCCCAATGCATTTAAGATATTCAATTAATATTTGTTGAATTTTTTAAAAATGAATGAAAATGAACTGAGACGTTTGTAAACAGGCACAATTTTCCTGTAATTAAGTCTCAAATTACTTAAGTATGTTTCCAGTTTTCCATGACTTTAAAAAATGACTTGTGATTACAGTAAGCTAGTCCTGGCAACACTAAACTTTATTTTAGAAAGCAAATTTATGGAACAACTATTCTTTATAAGAAAAAAAAAAAAAAACACCCTATTTCACAATACCTCTATCTTGTGAAGACCAGCTGGGCCCTTTCTATTACATGCACAAAAGTGAAATAAAATAAACACACATCGGGCCAGGCACGGTGGCTCATGCCTGTAATCCCAACACTTTGGGAAGCCAAGGTGGGCGGATCACAGGGTCAGGAGGTTGAGACTATCCTGACCAACATGGTGAAATCCCATCTCTACTAAAAATACCAAAAAAAGCTAGCCAGGCATGGTGGCGCACACCTATAATCCCAGCTACTCAGGAAGCTGACACAGGAGAATCGCTTGAACTCGAGAAGCGGAGGTTGCAGTGAGCCAAGATCGTGCCAGTGCACTCCAGCCTGAGCAACAGAGCTAGACTCCGTCTCAAAAAATAAATAAAAATAAACACACATCATGCAAAATAATAAATTTTGGTTTATTCTTCCAAATTCCTACTAAACTATTAATCAGAAACACATATATTGTTTTGTTTTGAATACCTACAATATTGGAAATAATAACATGAATTAGAATCTACATACATTAATTTTGGAAATAATTCAATATGAATAACTATCAAATACTTAATTTAAAAAGAACTTGTAATTTATAACCCCAGCTGCCTCCTGAAAAGGTTTAAACCAACAAATTTGGGAAACCAAAATCCATCTGCTGTATATCTCGATGTTTTTGTGAATGAAAAGGAAGGATGGCAGCCGAGGAACGATTCATATTATTATACAATTTAAGGAGTAAAATTTAGAGCAAGAGAGCAAATAGAGATAGGAAGAGGAGAGGAAAAAAGAGAGCCGATGAGAAGCTAGAAAGCCACATGCCCAAGATGTGTCACATCTCTTTCTCTACCCTTCAGTCGAATCTACTAAATCTTGCAACATTCCTGGCATATGTGAATAGCTTATAGAAACCGCATGTCTAGATACAGAAGCAAGAACCATAGGTACTGCATAAACCTAAACCTTTGACTAACAGAATTCCATGGAGACATGGCTTGAGTTTTACTCTTTAAGGGGCAAGGACCCAGATGGCAGGTAAGTTCCTTATGAGGGAATTCTTTTTTCTTTTATAAGGTTTAAAATGTTTAATATTAAGGGGGATATATGGCAAATACGTGGTGTAAATTCATTAAATAGTTCACCAAGAGAATAATTAATATCTAAATTATAGTCATAAAATGAAAATATCTAAATATTATTAAATACCTCTATCTTGTGAAGACCAGCTGCGCCCTATTACATGCACAAAAGTGAAATAAAATAAACGCACGTTGGGCCATATAATAATAACATCTAAATATTATTAAAAAGCATATGTGCATTACACACTATAGCATTTCAATCAAATTAAGAGAAAGCAATGCAAATTCAAGAAAATAGTACTGAATTAAACTAGGTTTCAAGAGTTACAAATCATACACTATTTCGTATCTCTAGGGTATCACAACTGCTTTTCCTTGCCAAATGATCAAAACCTCATTCATATGCTTTGGAAAATTACCTACAATGTATAGATAGTTAACTTAGATATTGAGTATCTATAACACAGCTATACAGTTGTGTTGTATATACAGATTGCTACAGAGAGGTCTTAGATTTTTGAAGTAAAAACTAAATTCTCAAATTTATAAATTCTAGTGATATATCTATATAGATATAGATATTATATATAGGGTGGGTTAATAAAGTATACTAGATTTCTCATGTATCTTACTTAACAAAATAAAAACAGTCATTCTAACATTTCATCTGCTAAACACTCTACTTTTTATGAGAAATAATTGTGTTAATACATGTACTTACAACACCTGGCACTTAATAAGCACTTGTTAATGGTGAGTTCTTAGCAAGAGTAGTAAAAATGGTATTAGTAGTATTAGTAGTAGTATTGACAAACAGACATTAATATCATTATAAACTGATATACGTGGTGTCTTTTTCCCATTTCAATTGAGTTAAATGAGCAAATAGGCGCTGTTAGGTGTTAATTAGTTTAATAGCAAATAAAGCTACAAATATGACTGTGGGATGATTTGTACCTCTGAAATTTCTTTCTGATACTAAGGACTACAACTCTGTATGCAATAACTATTTTGGTCAGAAGTTTTGTGAAATTCTACTTTAAAAATATCTATAGAGAATAAAACAACTCTAAATTTTAGTATCAGATATATCATAATTTCACCTAGCTTTAAACAGAAAAATGGGCCAAGTAATTGTATTTGTGATTATAACTAATATTAAATATTTCTAGATGTATTCAGGTTGTTTTCTATGACTCTTAAAATGAAAAATAATTAACTTGAATTGAAAGTTTATAAGCTGTAGAATATAACTAAGTTCCCTCAATTTACTAAACACGGAATAACTACAGTATGTTCACATCAATATGAAAAATGATCATTTTAACCATAAATTGATATTGAATTTTAGACAGTACCTGTTTTGTTCAATCAAAATTTTTAAAGTCCTTGGATTTGTCAAAACAACATCTGCATCCACACTAAAGTAATAATCACACTTTTCATCCTGACGGCAAAAGTCCCTAACATTGAAAAAGAAAATGAAATGGGCATGAGATAAAATAAGTATCTGCTGACTGAAAAATGTTAACATAAATATTCTTATACGTAAAATATGGTTCTCTAGCATACTTTTCTAATCAAAATAGAAAGACAATAGCTGAAAGTATATATATATATTGTCTTAAATTTCAAAATGTTCAATTTAACACAGATATTCATAAGGAGATCACCTCTAAAATTTTAGGCCAGTTAAAATATATTTTCAAGCCACTAAATATTTTAAGGCATAAAACATCCACAAATCAAAATGTTTTTGCACACATACATACACATGCACACAAATGCAACTTGTATATCCCACAACTCAGTTTTAAAAGAATGTTGGAGATATAAGTATATGATTTTTCAGGTATTAATATTTTAAGAACTTGATTTGCATCGAGTTTTCTAAGATAGTTATTCCCCTGCCTTCTCACCAAGGGCAGTGACTATTTTTGCTTTCCCTGGTACAGTTTGTAACATTATCATCAGGAATATCAAGGAATGAACAACTGAAGATACCAGATGACATCTGGGTTATCAACTTCCTACCTCTGAGCTCCCCTCCCTGTCAGTCCCAGTCAGCACTTTTTGCTGTTGTCAGTGTGTGTCTCCACACCACATTTGTTCCAAGCAACAGTCAAACAAAATACCAGACAGGAACACTTGGTACAATCATGAAAAAAAATTAAAGAAAATATGTTCTGAATGTGGACCCAGAGGATTCTCCAATGAATAAATTACGGAATCATTAGTAATAACATCAGTTTGGTTTTTCAGAGGCCTCTTTTCTGTCTATCCCTACACCCCCAACCTAGTCAGAATCCAACCCTCTGGGACCTCAGCTTCTGCAGCACAGGCATGAGGGTTCGTAGTAGATAAGACTAATTCCTGATGAGAATGGATTATGTCTTCACCTTTTTATCAGCTGCTCTTACCACACTTCCTGGCATATTCAATTAACATTCATTGAATACACGATTGTTTTTACTACTACTAGAGTTTTATTAGTAGAATGAAGTATTAACAGGGCTAAACAAAAGGCCTACAATACCCCTTCTTGGGATTACAGTATTATCTAGATCAGTGAGCAACTGGAGAGTAAAAGCACCTGTTTCCCCCACAGTCTAAAAACACACTTTTACTACACACAACCTTCAGAGCGTACATGTAACTTTAAGTCACTGCTAGGAAAGTCATACTATTCATTTATCTGCAGTTTAAAAAATCTTGATCTTACTTTGAGTCATCATTTGATTAAACATATTGACTCGTAGCCATTAAAAGAAAAACATAAGTAACTTCTACAGCCCTTTATGTATAAATACGTACAAATATAAACGCAGTCTAAGTTGGCTACTGCATACACAGACAAATAGTTTGAGACACCCAAATTTAGCATAACAATTTTAATTTAAAAGTTTATTTTTTCTTAAAGTTTCCTTAGTAGAATAATTTAATTTTAATTTATTAAAACATACATTCCCATGTTTCTGGCTTCTGCTTGACTTAGATTTTCTTCTGGTCCTACTATTTTTATAGTTTTGATTTCATGCTTAGCTTTATCAAAAAATACCTTGATGTCCTTTTCATGATAAACTTCCTGTAACATATTTTAAAAATCAAAAATTAGAGAATAAGACAATAAGATGACTGAAGTATTCATATGTAGAGAGTGCTTCACATTCAAAGTCGTGAATTCTACAATTCAGATATTCAATTACATATAAAATAATAACCACATTAAACATGGTATATTTAGATATCACTTAAATGTCACATGAATAATCTTAAATACATATATATCAATATTCTTAAAGATGCTTCAAAAATCTGTCAACATCTACTGCTAGACAAGTCTTTGTATAAATACTTAAATCTTTAATAGGTGTTTGCATAAATACTTAAATCCTGAGTAATATAAAATGTTTCCAATTGGAGAAGAAACATATGGCCTGTAGCCTGGAAATCTTAGATATATGTTGTAAAATGTCTAGAAAACTATGTCTTCCAAGCATAATAGTCATCAATCTAAGTTATAAATTTAAATAATCACATTTTACAAAATACTCTTTGAAACCAGAGAGCAAAATAAATGGTCATATACAATAAAGTTGTTTATTTACCAAAAAAAGGAAAAATTTAACAAAATTCTATGGGAAAACCATCAACATAAAAGTTACCAATTTTAGTGTGATTCAACTGTGCTAAAATTCACATAAGATTATCTGTCTCCGTCATTAGAGTATTTCAGAGATTTTTGTCAAGTCTCTGTTTTCTGAAAAGCTGTTGTTGTTTGCAGATTTTTAAAATAACTTATCACACAAAAGCAACGTAGAGTTAATACTAAATAACTGAAGATAAGAAAAAACTTCTGCCATCAAGGATTTTAAAGCCCTATGAAAGCAGGGAAAATATAAATAAAAGATAATACATAAAACCAAAATACTTTAGTGAAAGTATATATATTACAACATATTTTACAAAGCAAATGCTCAATTTTTCCCCATTTTAAATCCATTTAAGCTAGCTTCCTGCAGTTAAAATATTCCCTGGACAATGTGAATGGTTAGCTGACATTTACATTAGGAAAAAAGAACAATGGTAAACAAACAGTATTAGGACAGAATAGAGAAAATCGCACAATTCACAGCTATTGAGTTTTTCTAGACAATGTTAAATACCAACCGTTTTAGCAGATGAAAAATAACTGAAAAAATATTGAGGAAAAATATCTTCAAGTTTAGAAATATGTGGGAGGTATGTAGGAGGCTCTGAATATTTTTGAAGAAAAGGACAGTATCAAAATCTTTTGGGGAATGGCATGCCCTTGTGTGATTCATCAAAACAGTACTCTATCTGGAAATTGTTTCAAGTTTTGATGATATGTTATTGTTTTAAATTGCAAACAATTTAATGACCAATTCTATAGAAGAAAGTACCATAACTAACCCAAAGGCAAAGGGATTTAAGGCCCTTTGAATCTCCTTCACTGTATGTTAATTTAAGTTATATGATGATGGCTAATATTCAGTCATTTTTGATCTACAGAAACTGGCAGTTTCATGTGGCTCCTATCAATATTGTGGTGCTAGTCTCTAGACTCTAGAATCCTTAGGTCCTAAAAAGGCAGGGCTATAATTACTCCAAAAATCCTCCACTGAACTTAACCCAATGAATTTTATTAGACATAAATAACAAATAGTTCCAAAAAAGACCAGAAATAGTTTAAACATAAAACATTCTTTTCTCAAATACTTACTTTGTTATGAATAAAAAGTTTAAGTGCTTCTTTTGGGTAATCCAGTGTCAACAATATGTCCAGAAACCGAGGTAGAAAAGGTGTTGGTTGCTCAATAAAAACACCTATTGTTACGTTTGGATGGACCTTTGTTTTACACCAAACATAAAAAATTATCATTAGTATGGTTTTATTTTAAATTTTATTCAAATCTTAATCGCCATGACACAAAAAATACTAGAATACCAATTCAACATAATCTGCTAAATTTGAATTGCCCCATGGCAGTTCTCTAACACTTGAAACAAATTTTTGTGGCCCTCTCATCAAAGTGATTTTACTAAATCCCATCTTGGTTATGAGTTAGGTTTAAAAATGAAATTATCATATTTCTGAATCCCATCTTGGTTATGAGTTAGGTTTAAAGATGAAATTATCATATTTATTACATGAATGTAATTCATGGTACTGCTTACACTACTAGTCAATGCTTCCTTTAAAATAGCCCTTGCCGAAACTTCTTCACATCTGAAAGCTATTTTGAAAGCTTCATCTAAGAAACAAAATACTAATTGTGTTTCTCTTTTTTGTTTCCATGGCTTAAAGTTCAGGGCTTAATTTAGAGCACAAAAAAAGCAATCGTGGGAGACCTGAGACTTTATCCTTTTATTTCCTTTCATTATTATATTATGTATAAGGAGAGCTATCTTCTTTCACTAATATTAATATATCTTATCTTAATGTATATGTTTTAATATATTTTCTTAAGTTCTCTTTAGATATGTTTTGGTGTGGAGTTTATCCTTCATTAATTGCACAAACAATTCTGAAATAGCCATTATACATTCCAATCCACATCATGGGCAATATTTAGCAAAAGGAATCAAAGTCCCTGGCTTGAAAGACTTTCAAGTAGATGGGGAAGACAGAAACACAAGTAAATGCCCACATAACAGTGTCATGACCAGAAATCTATGGAAGACTTGTTTATAATGTCTTACCAAAGCCATGTCTTAAAGTCTGAACAAAAGAACTACAAATTTTTTTAAATACCTTATACGTTAAGTGCTGAATTAGCTACCTTATTCCATTTTTTCATACACAGTACCTCACACATTCCTCCATTATCTGTATAATAACATATGCTTGCATAAAAGTACACCTTGTACACTATCATACTTCTTTATTCATTCATTCACTTGCCCGAATATTTATTAAATGAATAAACAAATACAAAGAACACAAAATATCTACTCTCTAGTAGTTCTCAATTTAATAGGAAAAATAATTTAAAAAGTAGGTCAACACTATCCTTTATCAAATGAGATGATGCATTTCATTTGATTTTCATAAAAGCCTTAGAGGTCTTTTCCCAAATTTGCACATGAGGAAAATGAGATTTAGAGAAATTTAAGTAACCCAGAACACACATATTTGAGGGTAAAGTGCTGGGTTTCAATCCACTACATCACCATTATCAACCTAAGTTCATGTTTATATAATAACAACAATATAACAGTTAACATTTATTGAAGGCTGACCACTTCGTATATGTATATTAAATTTATACAAATAAAGTATTATTTACATATTTGTTATATATATTCATTATATATGTGTGTATAAAATTTCATTTAACATTCCTACCAACACTCTGAGAAAGTCACTATGACTTTACATATAAAGAAACTTGCCTATGACCCACATCTAACATTACGATAGGCTTGGGATTTAACTACCTACACAATTTTAATTTTTATATCCCTATTGAAAAATAGCTGTATGTAGCACATAATTTTATTGTGCATAATGGAATGAATAGTTTTCTTTTCTAGCACATTTTAACAAGCTGTAAGACAAAATAGCTTAAGTATTAAATCACATACTCCTAACATGCAAAAAGAAAAAATGTTAATATAAATATTTTTCTATCTTTGCACCAGAAAGTTTATATAAAAGGACACAAAATAGATAAAAAGTATTAACTTGACCTCCAGAAGACAACACTACTTTCAGCAAAAAAGATCAGGATAAATTTTTAAATATCTTCATGATGCAGCTTCATTCAGAAATATTCTGGCATTCTTTCCAGATAGGAAACAGTTTGCTACTTGAGAGACTGGCCAAAAACCTTACTTTCAAGTAAAATAGGGCTCTATTCATAAGCTCCTACATGTACACGAGTTACTCTTTATACTCCTTTCAGACAATGGTAAGAATAGAAACTATTTAATTCAGGAGCTTGAACATATTACAGTAAAAGTATTTTGCATTTGCATGGGTTCCAGAGTTAGTAGTACTATATTCCTAAGAGCTTTATTTTTGCCTATATAGCTTCTACGTTTCTGGCTGCTATAGGTACTCAATGAAACTATGGTGAATGAAGGAAAAAAATCAGTCTTAATGACAAAATAACTCCCTAGAATCAATGCTTCGTACATATAATCTTCCAAGTTATGAGAGCAATTTTTTGGAAGAAAAATGTTACTGTAAGACATCAGCTCTGGCTGATGTTAGAACAAAGATACATAAAAATGTTTTATAGACTAATAATAAATATTTTCAAATCTTTGTTCACCCTCAAAACATGAATGATAAAATATAACTATATCTGTCTATGAAATACATACAAGTAACACCATGCCTAGAATATACACATCACACAGGTAAAAATGCAGTGTCAAGAACATAGACTGGAGCCAGACTCCCTATATTCAAATCCCAACTCCAACACTTAAAACTGTGTGCTCTTAAACATGTTACTTACATTTATGCACCTCAGTTTTCTCATCTGTAAAACTGAGTCAATTGTACTACTTACTTTAGGAGTTTTGTGAAGTTTAAAGGAGTTATACGTAAAGTAGTTAGAACACTAGTGTGTTATATAATCAGGTAATATTAATTTTTACATATCAATTTTGAAAATCCAGCACAGATAAAATTAGTCAATAAAAATACTGAAGCCTTGTAATGATTTTTTTCTCAATGCTTTGCCTAAGCTAATAGACTGAACATAAGAGCACCCAATCGTAGTAAGCTATTAAATATTAACCATAGGACTCTTTCATTGGGTTCAATTATTAGCTGGTTTTTCTTTCAAAAACAGTTCCGAAATACAAATCTATCAATTGGCTGAATCATCATGTTTTAAAACTAGGTACCTGTTATCTATGATAAAATCAAAACTATAAAATAATTTGCCTTTTTTCCTACAAATCACCGTATTTCATGACAAGGTGCTTTCTATTACTGCATTTCACACATAATCAATTCCACTTACATCTACTGCAGACAAGTCGATCGTATCAAATTCACAAAGAGTGCAGCCATTATCCTGTGTCCATGAATTGGGTACATAGTTTCCAAAATAATTCAGGAGAATCTTGTAAATGAAGGAAAAGGTTATTAATGAAAGCAGGCCTTTCATCAATGTGGTTTCATTCTATAATCATCTAATTTAAAAGCATGTTTTCTGCAGTAGGCATATTCCTTTAGTAATTCTACTAATATATCATCTGTAGTGCACACTGAATAGTTTTCTCCAGAATATGAATTGTAAAGCAGGAAAAAGTATGTCTAGAAATGCCAAAAAAGTCTTCTAAATCATAAAGGTCATTTTATTTCATATTATGTAAGATACAATACTGGAAAGGATGATCAAAAAGAAAAAGCAAACAGTGAAACGGTGTTTTAAATAGGCTAGTAAGACTTATTAGGAAAAATACAAATACAAATAAGAGTCACATGAATAGTAATTTAGTAATAAGATAAACCTGTTTAAAGCTGAGCACAGACACCTACAGTAAATGGGGCAGTAGTAAATGTGACCTCTAACTAGCACAACGCCACACAAAATAAATACTAAGTAAGCTTTGTTAACCAAAAGACACTAAGCTCTTCCAGGAAACTATGCTGCTATAAGCTAAGCTTCCGGGCAGTGATTCAGGGGTACTGATTCAGGAAAAGACAGCTTGCAGATCAAAACAGATCCAGGGCAACCCCTAATAACAGTCACCTGCCAAATTCTATTGAAAGTAAGCTAAAGTACAATATTATTTCTCTACCCATCTTCTTTCAAATCTGTCTGAGGATCCCCTTTGTGAAGTATCAGTCCTTAAACAGCTATTGGCATTCATTTTAACTGTTAAAAAAAATCTGTGCTCTTCTGTGTGTTTTGGGGAGGGATGGTGTCAGGGAGGAAGGATAGGTGATGGAGGTAGACACACTTAGATTTGCTCTGAACCCTCAAACAAAATCTTTAATATCCCTAGAATTTGAACACGGTAGGGAAAATCCTGCTGAGTAAATAATAAGTGAAATTACTACATCGCAATTTTAATACTCAGTAGTGATTTGAGCATTTATATTAATAGGTTTTTCAAATTTTCTTTCCACAAACTATAATTTTGCCTCATGCTATTAAAAAGAAGTACCTAAAATCCCTATTATGATTATATGGTCAATAGTTTTTTATTGGAAAGGTAAAATGAAATCAAAAGAAAGAAAGTCCATGTTAAACATGGGGATCAAAAAAATGGACAAAAATGTCAACTATAGTTTTCTAGCTTCTTCAAGTCCTAAAGGAGATGTTAAGGTGAGGAATACATGAAGTAGTTGGGTACCATTTTGCCAGGTTCCTCTCAAATATTTGGGATCCTGTTCAAATATTCTTATCGTACTGAAACACTGAAACAAATACTGCTGAAACAAGAACTTTAAAATGGGAAAAACTTTGCGTTATACAGATATAGCTACATTGAATCTCTACAGCAAAATTAGAAGACATGGACAAGTAAGCCATATAAAAATTTCTTCTGGACTACAGGATAATTCAGGAAACAAATTACAAGGCAGGAAATATGTAGTCATGATATTAATGACATTTCAAGAGTCGATGTGGTCATTTTAATGTGTCTTGATAATAAAAACAAAAATAAATATTTTACTGTTGTCAAATGACAAAGGCAAACATTAATCATTTGTGTTCTACAAAGGCAAACATTAATCATTTGTGTTCTACAAAATATCACCGTTTTGAAGGAAAAATATCTATGTGGAAATGTATTCCTGTTTAGCATTATTTTTTAAAAAGATGAAGAATATGCAAGGGTGAAAAGCATAGTTTTGTTTAAAATATCCTGAGAAAAAGTTTTTTTTTAAAGACAGAAAAAATTTCCCAAATATTTGGCCATATCTAAAATCTCCATTATATATAAAGAATGGTATTTCCACCACCTCAGAAATCTTATTAAAAATGTAAAATTTATTTCATGAATTATTGATCAGTCTACTAGAATCCCTATATGAATATTAAAATGATCACTAGTTTTAAAATGTTAGAGCATAAAAGACAGCACTTTCAGTTTCCAGAATTAAACCTGTCACTTTCCTACCTTCTGCTTTTTATCTCAATTTGTTTCCTAGATAACTAAGATCTTTTAGAAACATTACTTTTGACTAGAAACTTCCCTCTTTTGGACCTCTCACCACACAGGCAGAGGTTATCCACTATCACCACCTCCCATTCACATCTGTTTTCCTCATGAAAACTGCAGACATTTTTGCTGGCAGCTCTAGACGGCGCAGAAGGCTGTTTATGCAGTTAGGCTGCTACGGGCACTCTTGGGCTACTAGGTGGTAGTATTTTCCTGATTCTTCTTTCACAATATCAAAATGTTTCCAAGTATGATGTCATTTTCATTGACAAAGAAACTTTTCCACCCAAATTCTTTCCTCTTTCTTCCTTTTAAGAATTATATCCAATTATTCAAGGTCACAGTGACCGAAGTACTACAGTTTTTATACACAAAATTAACATCTCTATTTTTATTACAAATCAGTTTCAGAAATGAGTTATGTTCACGTGCAGATCAGGTCACTGGCTATTCCCTCGTTTACTTTCTCTTTTGTAATCAATGTGCAAAAATTGCAAGCATTCCTATAAACTAATAATAGCCGAATTATGAGTGAACTCCCATTCACAACTGCTACAAAGAAAATAAAACACCTAGGAATACAACTTACAAGGGACGTGAAGGACCTCTTCAAGGAGAATTACAAACCACTGCTCAATGAAATAAAAGAGGACACAAACAAATGGAAGAACATTCCATGCTCAAGGAATCAGTATCGTGAAAATGGCCAAACTGTCCAAAGTAATTTATAGATTCAATGCTACTCCCATCAAGCTACCATTGACTTTATTCGCAGAACTAGAAAAAACTAATTTAAATTTCATATGGAACCAAAAAAGAGCCCGTATAACCAAGACAATCCTAAGCAAAAAGAACAAAGCTGGAGGCATCATGCTACCTGACTTCAAACTATACTACAAGGCTAGAGTAACCAAAACAGCATGGTACTGGTAACAAAACAGATATATAGACCAATGGAACAGAACAGAGGCCTCAGAAATGACACCACACATCTACATCCACCTGATCTTCTACAAACCTGACAAAAACAAGCAATGGGGAAAGGATTCCCTATTTAATAAATAGTGCTGGGAAAACTGGCTAGCCATATGCGGAAAACAGAAACTGGACCTCTTCCTTACACCTTATAAAAATTCAACTCAAGATGGATTAAAGGCAAACCTAAAACTATAAAAACCCTAGAAGAAAACCTAGGCAATACCATTCAGGCCACAGGCATGGGCAAAGACTTCATGACTAAAACACCAACAGCAATAGCAACGAAAGTCAAAATTGACAAATGGGATCTAATTAAACTAAAGAACTTCTGATCTGTAAAAGAAACTATCATCAGAGTGAACAGGCAACCTAGAGAATGGGAGAAAATTTTTGCAATCTATCCATCCAATATCCAGAATCTACAAGGAACTTAAATTCACAAGAAAAAAAAAACCCCATCAAAAAGTGGGCGAACGATATGAACAGATACTTCTCAAAAGAAGACATTTATGTGGCCATCAAACATATGGAAAAAAGCTCAACATCACTGGTCATTAGAGAAATGCAAATCAAAACCACAGTGAGATACCATCTCAAGCCAGTTACAATAGCAATCACTAAAGTCTGGAAATAACAGATGCTGGTGAGGATACAGAGAAATAGGAACGCTTTTACACTGTTGGTGGCAGTGTAAATTAGTTCAACCATTGTGGAAGACATTGTGGTGATTCCTCAAGGATCTAGAACCAGAAATACCATTTGACCCAGTAATCTCATTACTGGGTACATATCCAAACCATTATAAGTCATTCTACTATAAAGACATATGCACATGTATGTTTATTGCAGCACTATTTACAATAGCAAAGACTTGGAACCAACCCAAATGCCCATCAGTGATAGACTGGATAAAGAAAATGTGGCATGAAATACCACGTATTTCATGAAGTACTATGTAGCCATAAAAAAAGAATGAGTTCACATCCTTTGCAGGGACAAAGATGAAGCTGGAAACCATCATCCTCACCAAACTAACACAGAAACAGGAAACCAAACACTGCATGTTCTCACTCATAAGTGGGAGCTGAACAATGAGAACTCATGGACACAGGGAGGGGAACATGACACACTGGGGCCTGTTACGGGGTGGAGGGAAAGGGGAGGGAGAACATTAGGACAAATACGTAATGTATGCGAAGTTAAAAACCTAGATGACAGATTGGCAGGTGCAGCAAACCACCATAGCACATGTATACCTATGTACAACAAACCTGCACGTTCAGCACATATATCCAAGAACTTAAAGTAAAATTTTAAAAAGCAACCAAATTCGTGACAATTAAGATGTACATTGTTTGATATTTAAAAGGTTGAACATTAAAATGTGCATCTTATACATTACTAACAATAAATGGGTTTCAAGAATAAAAAGTAAAGAAGTAAAGCTTCAAACTAGAAACCAGTTTCTATCTAAAAATTGATTCATGTTAGATTTATACAGACAAGTATGAAAATAATTATTTAAAGTACCTAAACACGTTGTAAATAAAATGTTAATTCAGAAACACAAAATTGTTTATATACTACTATGAAAACAAATGAAAATATAAATGTTCAAAGATATACAATGAGGAGACATAAAAATTGAAAGCAGCTATGAATTAAAACCATATGGGAGGGCAGTATAAATTATTTAAAATTATTAAAATTATTTTTTCTGATGGCATAAAATTTGGAGAAAGTAGGAAACTAGCTCATTTTACATAGTTCAGTATTATGAACACACTATAATCACTTCACCACTTATAGATTGTGTATATTTTTAATGAAAAAAATTGCTTAAATGTTTAGTTCAATATTATGGCTCAAAACCCTGTCATTATAAACATCCATTACTAAACAAAATAATAAGTAAAACTAACTTACAAAAAATCATACCAAAAATCCTTCCACTTTTTATAAAGGTTAAAAAATGTTTGTAGTGATCAGCTTTCTTTTCCCATCAGCCTGGATAAGAAGAATATGTGACAAACTCATTTGAATTTATTTAATTTTCACCTAATATTATAAAGTATTAGTGTTAGTTAAACATTTACATATTCAAATTTTCTTGAGTTTTTGTATTATACCAAATATTTATAATAAAACTTCATATTTTATTGTCTAATAGAATAATAAAATGAACTAGATATGATCATATCAGATAAAACATAATACGAGCATCACATAGCTTGAAACGCCAGAAACAGTGATAGCGCAAATTGAAAATGTTTCCAGGTAGACTTAATATTTCTTAGTACACCTAGGTCTTTCTAAATGATTAAGGATTCGTGCTCCTTTTCTTGTGATATGTCCTTTAGTTACTTTTTAAAGCTCCAGTCAGCATCATCCTGGAAATTTGGAAGGAATTGGTGATCACGTTGAAATCACTGAACATAAGGCCTTATCCATAATCACTAAATTCTCAGGACCAAAATCACTCTTCAAAGACATTTAAATTTTTGAGACATGGTCTTGCTTTGTCGCCAAGGCTGGAGTGCAGTGGCCCGATCTTGGCTGACTGCAACCTCTGCCTCCCAGGTTTAAGCGATTCTTGTGCCTCAGCCTGCCAAGTAGCTGAGATTACAAGCACCTGCCTAATTTTTTTGTTGTTGTTTTGTTTTTGTATTTTTAGTAGAGACAGGGTTTCACCACATTGGCCAGGCTGTGACATGAGGCATGAACCACTGCACTGGCCTAAACTTGATGAAAACATTATATTACCAAGGAGGAACAGAACACTATGTAGTTATGGGAAAAGTGGGATTCTACCAACTCTTGACTAACTGGCACTGACAGTATCACAGAAAGCTAAAACAGTGACTACACACACATAGTAAAGGGATTCATTTATCAGATTTGCCTAGGGAAAGTTACAGTGACCAAGAGTAGTTTTTTGTTTGTTTGTTTGTTTGTTTTGAGACGGAGTTTTGCTCTTGCTGCCCAGGCTGGAGTGTAATGGCACAATCTTGGCTCACTGCAACCTCTGTCTCCCAGGTTCCAGCGATTCTCTTGTCTCAGCCCTCTCAAGTAGCTGGGATTAAAGACATGTGCCACCACCTCCGGCTAATTTTGTATTTTTAGCAGAGACAGGGTTTCACCCTGTCTTGGTCAGGCCACTCTTGAACTCCTGCCCTCAAGTGATCTGACCCACCTAAGCCTTTCAAAGTGCTGGGATTACAGGCATGAGCCACCGTGCCCAGCCAACCAATAGTAATCTGATAATGCGTTTGCCCTGCCAGAAAATAATCTGCCTTACTACTCCCAAGAATAATGCTAGGTCATTAGATTATTGACTCTAACATTCAATTAAGATTTGTTGAAAGCCTAGTATTTGCCTCACATGTGCTGGACCCTGGGGAAACAAAAGTAAACAAGACAGATAAGATTTCTGTAATTCCTAGACCAAAGGCCTAATAAGTAAGAGAGACCAGAAAACAGGCAAATATCATTCCTGTCCAGTGTGTGATATGTACTGTAACAGAAGTAGTTCCAGATATTACAAAAGCATACAAGGGACCCGAAAAGTAAAGACTACACTGACACCTAAAAGATAAGGAGGACTTAGCAGGTAGAGATACAGCAGGTGGGAATTGGGGTAGAGGATTCCAGGATATATAAAAAGCATGTACAGAAGACTTGCAGACACAGCAACATGAAACTTCTGCAAAACTGAAAGTAATGTAGTATTGTTGAGCAGAGAGGGAGAAAGGGGGAGAAAATGAATGTGAAGAGGGTGTGAATATGAGCAGTGTTGGGAGTGGGACAGTGAATGGGGTGGTAGATTGGTGGCCACTAAAGCAGGAGCAAAATAAAGAGCCTTGTAAGACAAGTTGAGGATTTTCAACTTTATACCTAAGTTCACAGAAAGTCATTATATAGGTGAGTAGAGTGACAGGGTTTCTGCTTTGGCAGAATACTCTAGTTTCAGGATCCTGGGGGTGTGATTGCTACTACTGGGAGGCTGCAGGTGGCCTGAACTAAGAAAGTTGCTATGGCCACTAAGAAAATCAGATAAAACCAGCATGCACAGGAGTTAGGAACAGAGGGTTTTTGGAGTGGGAAGTGCCTAGAGCCAAAACAAAACAGAGGTTCTGGTTAACCACTGGGTTATAAGGGAAGGTAAGGCTGGGAGTCTTAATTTCTGGATATATGTAACACAGAAATCTACCACTTGAGTATTTTGACCTGGAGTTTGGGAAAGACACAGGAGTTAGAGCAAGGATTTGAAAACCACCAGCGTTTAGAGAATTCACTGATGAGGGAATGACTCAAATTACCCAACAAAGTATATGGAAAAGAAAAGGAAGAGGCCTCAGACAGGCCCCTGTGAACATTTACTAAAACAGTAAGGATGCGGGTCACTACATGCACACAAACTTAAAAATAAGTATTTTAAAGAACAATAGAGATTGAAGAGGAAAGCCCAGAAAATTAATAGACAAAGCAGCAGAGCATCGTGGAAGCAAAAGGAAGGAGCATTCAACTAGGACCAAATGAGATCAACAAATTGTCAAATGCTGTCTTTAGGTGAAATAAAAATAAGGGCTGAAGAATGTCCACTACTCAACAAAGATTTCACAACAGACTTTGACAAGAGCATTTCTTAGTGTGATGGGAAGAAGTGGAATAGTGACAGCGAGTTATCTATATTTTAAGAAAGTTTGGCTGTGAAGGGGAATAAAAAAGTCAGGTGCAGCCTGGAAGGCAGTGTGGGTTGAAGAGGATGTTTTACCTTGTGTTGGCTTGGTTGGGTTTGGTTTGTAAGACGGAGGAGACTTAAGGGTCTTCAAAATGCTAATAAGGAGATGACAGAGTTGGGGAAACTGATTATAAGATAGAGACTGAAGGAGGGCACAAGATAGAGATTGCTTTGTAGGAAGGCTAGAATGGGATAAAAACCAAAGGGAAAAGATTAAAACTAGAAGAGACAAGAATCTACTTCTTTCAGTTTGATGGAGCAGAAGTTGCCAGCATGGGTTTTCCTTGCATTTCTTTCCATTCACATATCTTTTCCTGGAATTCAGATCACTCATTCCATTTTCAAATGTTAAAACAGAAGCCCACATCCCCCAATATTTTCTTCCCACAATGAAAATCTGTAAATCCCTTTTCTAGGTACTTAAACCAGGCATTTCAGCATGTCAGAAGGTTGTTTTAAGCACAGTATTACTATATTTTTTCAATGCAACTTACGTTCCAGCTTGATTGGACCACGCAAAACAAACTTTTCATCTATAAATTTTGCAGTCAATAACATTTTTAGCAAGCTCAATTATATACATTTGAAACAGAAAGGATCCAAAATTTTATTGGTCAAATTATGTCACTTTCCTTACTGTAGTTAATGAAATAAGAAAAAGAGGAAGCTTTCTGGACATATGTAATACCCCAATCTTAACAGTGTTGTTAACTTAGAAAACGGCAAGTCAGGTGAAACAAATGATCTCTTAACGTCCTGAGCAATTCCTAATGAGAAAGGATAACCAGTATAGAGAAATGTGGCTCACTCCCAAGTTAGTTGTTATTATTTAATGAAACACTAAATGTGCTATAAATACAATAAAAGGCTATCACTCTGCTGAGGAAAAATCATCAGTTTGATTGATTAATTAGTATAAACCCAGATGATATACTGTGTAAAAGATGAAGCCTTTATTTTAGCACCAAAATAAAGTATTTGAAAGAAATTTTAAAAAATAAAATAGATGAAATTCCACATATCAATCCATAGTCTATCTCCAAGAAAGAGCCAAATGAAAGTAACTGTTACGTACCTTGGTGGGTCCATTTCCATTAATCGCCACTGGTAATGTTTCATAAAATGTATTCTTAGCTCTGGCTTTGCCATTTTCAAATTTTAAAACAACTTCATCTGGGTTAAAAAGAGAAAATAGGCTTTAGTAATTTAAAATATATGTGTGTGTGTGTGTGTGTGTGTCTGTATTTGTGTGTCTGTGTGTGTATGTGTGTGTGTCATCATTAAAAAATTTCTCATGAATGTAATATTCCAAGGGCTACAACACTTCTAGTAACTTCATCTACTCCAAGTCAGCAGATACCCAAAATGAAGGATGACAGCTGGACAACAGATACTGATACCAAACTCACTCCAACCTGGCACCAGTAAAATGACTGAGGTGCAAAGCCACTGAGCTGTCTGTTAGAGTAATTCATCTTGTAATCCTGCCTTTGCCCCTTCATAGTAATGTTATTCTTGCCAAGTTAAAGTAGTATCTCAGTTTAGTCATCTATCAAATGGTATCCATGCTTGCCTTTTAGGGTTACATGGTGAGTAGAATATTGTCTGGCATAAGCAAGGTTTCTGCAACTGGCTACCAATGACAATATTTCCCGTTCTTAAAAATCAGACCTAGCACATTAATTAAGATAAAACTCAAGTCAGAGGGGAGCACAGCCATCTTTTTAAAATTTACTGAGTAATCCAAACTAAACATTTTGCATTGTGAGAATCCTTTTTTTTTTTTTTTAAGAGACTGGGTCTCACTTTCTGGCCCAGGCTGGAGTACAAGGGCATGATCACAACTCATTGCAGCCTCAAACTCCTGGGATCAAGCAATCCTCAGCCTCTCAAATGGCTGGGACTATAGGCACGCACCACCATGCCTGACTAGATTTTAAGAATCTTTTTACTAAATGAACTGACTTGAAGTACTGATTGAATTACAATATATTCTCAATTTTATGCATATATTTTAAAGTATTTATGTGTTAATTATAATATTTTAAATTTTACTGTATTGATTAGTTTTAATGTATTATCAAGATATATGTAGCTACAATACACAGGCACATATGTATATCCACACATGAGCATGTACACACATATACACACACATACACACACACACACTCACACTCTTCCCTGGTCTACCTGTCTAGTTGTCACCAGTTATCTTTCAGTTGGGTCAAAAGGATCTACCCTAACACTCTGGGTAATTCGTGACACAAAGAATTTCACTGGAAAATGTGTAATAATAAAGTGTAATCAATTCATAAACTTATCTAAAGTTCCCAAATGGTGACACACTAAATTTTAAGTTACCTAAAGCCAGAAGCTTATCTTTTTCACCCTAGTCATAGGAAATGATTTTAATTTAATGTACCAAAGTTAAGTTCAAGTCCAGTATTTTTTTTTAAGTTACAATAATTACAATATTTACACTGTCAACCTTAGTCACAGCCCCCAAATGGACATAACAAAGGAAAGATAGTTGAAAACACAGGTGTTTGTGTACTTAAGCAATCCGGTATTTAGGAACCATACCTACAGCTCCATTTAAGGTCTGGAAAATTTTGCATTTGTGATCCAATGTGATGTTAATAGCTTCCTAAAACATAAGAATAGAAATGATACTGAAAATGACAACAAAAGCAGCAAACATTATTAATACAGTTTGTTCTTTGAGGGAATTTAAAGTTAAATATTCTTATATCTTATGTGTCTAACCAAAATATTTAGATGACTAAAGTATTTAGCTAAAACATAGAAACTGCTATGGTTGCAACTCATTGCAAAATACACTTAAAGAAAATCTTGTTTCCTAATGACAGCAACTACAAACACACAATTAAGTAACTTTTATATCTGTATCCAGTATATATAGTAAATTTATTAAATATCAACTTATATTGGTAAATATTATAAAAGTATTCCCAAATTAGAAAATCTTACTTTACTGTTCTCCAAAGTTTCACTTACATCAATTTCAGGAATATTCTATCTAGGGCCTATGGGAGACTGCTTACTGTACCCAACATTCCCTCAACTTCCCAATAAGGGAACTCAGATTTTAGTAGCACACATCTGCTTAAAATTAAAAAAAAAAAAAAAAAAAACAGATTTTCTTTTGGGTATTATGAGTAGGCACATAAATATGTTCTTATCAAAGTATGAGAAACCATTCGGTAAGACTTCTAGAAAGGCTACTTAAAGAGAGTGATGAAACTGAGATGGCCTGTTTTTATTACTGTGCCTCTTTGTGCCCAGAATATGAATGCAATAACTGAAACTCAAGTAGTCATTTTGGACAAGGAAGTAAGATTAAAACTGGGAGCTATGGGCCAATGATAGAGCAACAAAAGAGCTATCCCTCTTGACAGCATAAAGCCTCCCTAACAGCCTTGTGCTCCCTACCTCGTAATTACTTTTAATGTGGGAGAAGGAAAAATAAATAAAAAGATCTTTCTTATTTAGACCACTGCTATTTTGCGTTGCTTTATTTACTACAGTTTAAGTATTCTTATGAATAAAAAGCAAAAGCCTGTGTCTATAGCATAGTCCCATGGATCCTCAGGCTCTACCCTCTTAGGGATTTCATTATCATCTCTTTAAATCTTCAGGCTCCATATTTTCAAATATCTGAAATCCACAAATTGGCTATAAAGCCTCCTAAACAGGCTCTATCCACTTTGGGCCACCAAACACTTGAACAAGCACCAGGGCTTTTGGCCTCAATGTTTTCTCAACACCTATGATATCCAGGCTCCAAATCTCAGAGGAAGGTCTCTGTCCTCAGGGGTATTACAGGTAATTTTCAAATTAAAAACTGTCTTTTGAGTGGCTTTAGTCACATGTCATTTCAAAATATCAAAAAAGGTGTTCTTTTACAATTGTAGCCAATTAAACACATAGAGTCTATGTTATTATCAAATGAAATAGAAAATTAAGTCCAGATTTTGGTTTTCAGAGAACCAAGGATCCAGTCCCTACAATGTCACTGACTATGTGGTCTCAGTTTCTCTATGGATAAAGTGTGGAAACAGAGTCTAGCATCTAGCCTATCTAGGATCAAAGAAGCTCAGAGAGCTATAAAAGGGCTTTGCAAGGCTAAAGGACTACAAGTGAGAATACACTGCAGTTTTTAAACCACAGAAGTTCACTCTGGTATCAAATGGCTTGGTGCAGCTTTTGAGAAAACAGTTATAGCTGCAAGATGGAGTGAATACAAGAATACACATTTATAATGCTCTACGTTGATAAATGACAGCTATTTACTCAAGATTATGAAAGAAGACATTCTCTAGAATCTTTAGGATTTCATTATTGTTTCTTTAAATCTCCAAGCTCAGAAGTTTTGATAATGTAATTTATTCTGTTATTCTAAGGCAGCCTAAGTGAGTATGCAGTGGAGGTAGGGCCATGACAACGGTGTGAGGGCTGCCATTTCATTTTAGTATCAAGTCATTTCAATATGTGTTTCAATACATATAGCACTGCATTACATAGTTCTTCTTTCCTTCTGCCTCATCCAACCAAGTTTGGCGAGTGTGCTGACTTGGCCACAAAAGAGAAGCCATAAAGACACACTAAGCTAGTGCTGATATCCAGTCAGGTGACATAAACCAATATCACCTATTAAAAATATGTTATCACCAAGAACATTTTGAAATTCGGTTTACCAGTTGCCACACTATCATAAAATCCTTTGTTTCTGACCACTCCATATTAACACAATATAACACACAAAACCAAATCAATAAAAGAAAAAAAATTGCAGCTGTTACACACCCTTTTCAGTGGATCAATGTAAATTTTCGTGTAAAAGAGCTGATCATCATCATTATCCTGGAGATTCCATTGTTGAACTATACGGTTGATATATGGAGCATAGCCAATAAATCCTGCAACACAGCAGAGAGAAAGTAGATAATTTAGGATTCAAAGACCAAAACTGGTGTCATATTAATTTCACTGACCAGTTGAACAGAGTTGTGAAGTCATGAAGTCTAATTCTTACGTTGGAATTTCACACCTCATCATGAAAGAAATATGAATTATTGAGTGCCACTTGTTTTATATATAAACTCCAATAGAGTGTTTGCTACCAAATGCAAAACAGAAAATAACCAAACTCTTTTTAAATAAATGTGTCTCCAAAATTAATTGACAAAGGAGGGAGAACTAATGTTTTCCAAGGCTCCTAAGGGAAAGAGATTTACTAGGAAAAGAATAGATTGAGACAAGAATTTTTTCTCTGACCTTCTACAAAGCTCTTCTTGGATTCTCTGCAGAAAACTCTCTTACAGGATAAAATCTCTACTACGATGGTTTTACTGTCAGTGCCAGAGATGCTAATGCAATCAAAGGAATGCTGGATTTGTCACTAACTGCAAACATCCCAAAGAAATTTTATATCTAAGACATTTTGGAAATGTTTCCATTACTTTGGCCAGTCATCATTGTGCCTGCTAAACCATTTTCTGGCTAGGTTTTTTGTGTCATAGTCTGGAAAAAGGAAGTCTAAAATTGGATTGTTCTCCTTGGCCTTAGAGCATAAGCATTAAGACTGCCAATAACATTTGTCTATTAAAGACACAAACGGAATCATTTTTCCTGTCTGAATCTTCCTCTGAATTATGGAAATGCAGCCGAGCTGCTATGTTTCATTGACATTCAGTACTTTGAAAAAGGAACCAATGTTACTCCTGTAAGTTGAAGAAAAACCTTTTTAACTGTCAAAATTAAAATTTTCTTAAAATAATTTAAAAAATAGGTCCAGGGAAATTACTGTTACCAAAAAAAAAAAAAAAAAAAAGAAAACATGACCAAAACCAATCACTGGTTGCTCATTTTTTGGTTCTTGCCATATAAAAAAATTTTTCTTTTTGGAGACAGTCTCCCTCTGTCGCCCAGGCTGGAGTGCAAAGGCACAATCTTGGCTCACTGCAACCTCTGCCTCCCGAGTTCCCCTCCACCTTCCGCCTCCTGCCTCAGCCTCTCAAGTAGCTGGGATTACAGGTGCCCACCATCATGCCCGGCTAATTTTTGTATTTTTAGTAGAGATGGGGTTTCACCATGTTGGTCAGGCTGGTTTCGAACTCCTGACCTCAGGTGATCTGCCCGCCTCGGCCTCCCAAAGTGCTGGGATTACAGGTGTGAGCCACCAGGCCCGGCATCAAATAAAAAAAATTCTATTAACACTAGAAGATAACACATTTTTTAAATCCCATGGCCAATCTTCTATGATGAAAAATGTACCACACAGAGACATGCAACATTTTTCAATGGTTTATATTACTGTTTTTCAAAAATTGTTTCCTTATTTGACAGATCCTAAATGTCCTCAATAAATGAAAAAAAAGCATCTATTTTAACATTACATATTTTATCTGACTTATATTTTTCTATTAAAAAGTTTTTTTGTGGTTATTTTTGGAGATGGAGCTCTCACTCTGCCACCTAGGCTAGAGTGCAATGGGGCGCTCATGGCTCACTGCAGCCTCGAACTCCTGGGCTCAAATAATCTCCTCACCTCAGTCTCCGAAGTAGCTAGGAACACAGGCATGTGCCACCATGCCTAGATAATTTAAAAAAATTTTTTTTAGTAGGGATAGGATTTCCCTATGTTGCACAGGCTGGCCTGAACTCCTGGGCTCAAGTCACCTTCCTGTCTAGGACTCCCAAAGTGCTGGGATTACAGGTTTGAGACATGGTGCCCGGCCTACCACTACTTTTAAAAACTAAATAGTATGCCCATAAACAACTCATGTTCCTTAAATAACTGTAAATATGTGATCTGTGAAATTATTCAAATTTTTATTAAACATTTATATTTTCTGCCATTCTCTAATTATTTTGACTATAGAAAGCATAAGGATGATGCTTTGATATCCTTTTATGATTACTTTCCCACTTATAAACACCTTTTCCTTAATTAAACTGGCTTACAACTGTACTTGCTTGCTAATTTCTTGCTGTTTCCAAAGCATTGTGAGTCTGTCTGAAACCTAACCACTTGAGTACATACATCACTATTTGAGATAAATTTACATGAGATTTCACTTGCAAGTCATCTTCAGAAAATGTTCAACAAGTATAAATAAAACATGTCTCAGAGTTCCATAGCTACATATTTCCTTTAAAAAAAAAATGGTTTTAAACAATGGAGGACTTAGAATAAGTTGCAAGATTAGACATATGTTACTGAAGTCTTGACAGTATGGAGGCCATGATGTGGAAGCAGCACCCATCCATGAGCTGAATGCTCAAGCAGAGAAGTGAGGGTGGGTACCCGTATTAGGGAGAGGCTTTGACGGTTCACGAACTGGAAGTCCAACAGAGAAAGACTGCTAAGGCAAGAAGCACAGAGTAACCAATATGATAAACCCTGGGTGCTCACTTGAATATGGAAGTTAAATCCAAAGGTGGTAGATAGATTTGGAGAAAAGAAAATGGTCAAGAGATCCCAGAAAGCATTACCTGTAGAAATATTGAGATGAAGAGGAAAAGAGATTTGAAGCCAGGCAGTACAAATTGGAATTTAAGGTTTCAAAAGTACAAAATCTATATGAGCTATCAAAGTTCCAACGTACAACTGTGAGAATAGGTTGATAAAATAAAGTGCAGGTGCAAAGAGCTGAAATTGAGGCATTACCAAGAAACTAAATCACACCCTAGTGGCTAAGCAAAGCCTAGAACCTGCAGCAGCACTTATTTTAACTAGCCTGGAAAGTATTGGTTATATACATGTAGACCATCCCCAAAATCCATTTTTCCAATGTGGTTTGCAATTTGTACCCAATTTATTTCTCTAACATGTCCTTCATCCCATTTGGTTATGTCTTTTGTCCCTACGTTTACATTAATCTCAAACTAGTTAAAATAAATTTGTAGCCATTGCAATGTCCAAAGCCTAATTTTATTTAATTTCCAAAAGGCTGAACTAAGGAATGTGGTAGTTCGTTCCTTTAATCCATGGTAACACAGCTAATGTAATATTAAGTATACCCAGACACCCAATGTTAGATATTTTTCACTACTGAGTTCAAGACAGATCATTTATTTACTCCCAAAATGTTTAAAATCAGATAATATTAAGTAATACCTATTCTTAAAAGCTACTTGATTGAAGACTGAGAATAATTTTTTTCAAGTAAGGAAACTTACTAATCTTATTATCCTATAGCAAGAAAATTCTCAGTGTGTCATAATTAAAGGAACTGGATCCGTAATTTTCTTCCTTTAACAACAGAATTTCTCTAGAAGTCACTTAAATTTGAAAAACATGAGTTTCCTCACTTATAATGTGGAAATTATAACATTCATACTACCTAGTGTTTTTAGGAACACCAACTCACATAATAAATGGGAAAATGCTTTGTCAATATAGTAATAGTAAGATAAGGGTTATTTAAAACTTCATATCTAAAGTTACTACATCTACAAAAATGGTTGTTTCATTAGTCTTTATAACTTGCATTAAACTTTTCTTCCAGTATCTAACTCACCTCCTGAATTCAGATAGCGTTTCCCAATGTGCACAACAGGATATTTGTCTGCTAGTCTTTTATCTGGCCACAGAATTCCATCTGCTGCAAAGACCACTTTGTGGTTTGCCTTTTGGAATTTTTTTAGAACTTCTTCTGGACCACCAGCAAATATGACATCAAAGCTGTTCAATGAGGAAAAAAGGTGTTTTAAAATACACTTGTCAGAATCTAGGCACATAAACCATAAAAAGTTCCCTAGCAAAAGTCAGAATCTAGAATACAATGCAAGATTAATACTTGTGCCAACTATTTACACAGAACACCAAACAAAATTTCTCTCAAATTATATGAATTGTATTGAATTATTAGTGTTTATATTACATTAGCAAATGAAGTCCAAATGAAAGACAGCTTTTTTAGTGTTAGCCTTAATTTTTTTTTCAATAATCACTTATTCCCAAATTGAAATTCTAAAACAGGATTGAAATGTTAGAAATGCAGTTACTTGTTGTATAACTTAATAATACAGATACAGTCATTTACCGAAGTTGCCATAACTGCCTAATATTTCTAGTAAATTTGTACCAGTCCATTACAGTTTCTGAAGAATTATCTTTGACAAAATGTGTTTAACTGCCAAATGTCATCAATATATGTTGAATATTTGAATGACTGTTTAGCACGGAATCTTAAAATAAGTGTGTACAGAAAACTGTAGGTTTTTAAAGCTCAATATACTCGGGGGAAATTTTTATGAAAAATGACACTACCATTTAATATCTATAATTTCATTGATTTTTCTGATGACCTTCTTCCTCATAGTTCATTCACAGAATCACAATGAATTAACAAAATGTGAAATATAAAAGTCACTATCAAAATTTTTCTACTTTGCAATAAGTTATTTACTCATTACAATCACAAATTATTTTACATTTTTTTACATCAGTGCACCTTAAGACCAAAGGTTTCCAGTAATGATAAATTAATGACTTACCATCCCAGGTAGCTAATAGCATAATTGTAAAGCCACTCACATCATACAATTTGAAGTCTGCCAGGTGGGTTTCTAATCCCAGCTCTGCCACCTGATATGCGAATAACCTTAGGACAAGTCACTAAGCCTCTTTGTACTTTACTACTTAAGTGTAAAGTATAAAATGGAGGGAAAAGTAGTATCTATATCCTCAAGTTAAAATTTTAAAAAATTAAAAATAATTCCTGGCACACTGTAAACACTGAACAAAGTTAAAAATTAACATGAAAGGGACTAGAGTGAAGGGAGAGACAGAGGAAAACTCACTTCAAAGCTTTTACAAATCTGTAGGTTAAAATAATTTTATTTTTAGCCAAATACTTGTACTTTTGAAACTGAACTTGAAGTTACAATAAAATTTTTCTGACTGAAACCCCAAACTTTGCCGCGTATATTTAAAAAAACTGATTAATCTGACATTACAAAACATAACACTGTACTTTTTCTGCTAAGTACAACTGATTTCCTCAACCCGATTTAATGGTAGTATTTTCCTCAAGACTGTAAGTTGTTGATAATATTGTTTTTTTAATAACAAAGACTGGGAAATAAGACCAGTTTTATGGGTAATTGGGCCATGAGAAGTGAGGCAAATAAACCAGTCTCTGAAACAGAGACTACCACGCAAGTGATAAACAGAGCCTTTGTGCATTGCCTGGAGATGGGGGAAAAATAGCTTGTGATGTCAGAGCATCTTATGATTGGAGACTCCGACCAAACTGAATATGAAATTTTGCAGGTAGCAGCATGCATACAGTGTGGCAATTCCTTAAGGATCTAGAATTAGAAATGCCATTTCACCGAGCAATCCCATTGCTGGGTATATACTTAAACAATTACAAATCATTCTTCTATAAAGATAAATGCACACATATGTTTATTGCAGCCTTATTTACAATAGCAAAGACTTGGAACCAACTCAAATGCCTATCAATGGTAAACTGGAAAAAGAAAACGTGGCACATACACTACATGGAATACTATTCAGCCATGAAAAGAATGAGTTCATGTCCTTTGCAGGGACATGGATGAAGGTGGAAACCCATAATTCTCAGCAAACAAACACAGGAACTGAAAACCAAACACCACGTGTTCTCACTCATAAGTGGGAGTTGAACAATGAGAATACATGGACACAGAAAGGGGACCATCACACACCAGAGCTTGTCGGGGCGGGGGTGGGGAGGCAAGGAGAGGGAGAGCATTAGGACAAATACCTAATTCATGCAGGGCTTAAAACCTAGATGAGGCCAGGCGCAGTGGCTCACGCCTGTAATCCCAGCACTTTGGGAGGTCAAGGCAGGTGGATCATGAGGTCAAGAGATCAAGACCATCCGGGCCAACATGGTGAAAACCCATCTCTACTAAAAACACAAAACTTCGCTGGGTGTGGTGGTGTGCACCTGTAATCCCAGCTACTTGGGAGGCTGAGGCAGGAGAATTGCTTGATCCCAGGAGGTGGAAGTTGCAGTGAGCTGAGATTGTGCCACTGCACTCCAGCCTGGTGACAGAGCGAAACTTGGTACTCAAAAAAAAAAAAAAAAAAAAGAAAAAAAACCCTAGATGATAGGGTAATAGATGCAGCACCCACGATGGACATTGTACTACAGTACAAATCCCTGCACGGATACTTATGCACTATAATCACAGAACTTAAGTAAAATAACAATACAAAATTTAAAATTAAAAAAAAGTTATAAATGCACTTCGGAATGTGAGTGAATATTTTTTGTCTTTTGAAACCCTAGGATGGGATACAGACTTATAAATAGTACACTCAAACCTATTAATAACTGTCAGTTGTTTGAAAAGGAATTATGAGGCCGGGCGCAGTGGCTCAAGCCTGTAATCCCAGCACTTTGGGAGGCCGAGACGGCGGATCACGAGGTCAGGAGATCGAGACCATCCTGGCTAACACGGTGAAACCCGTCTCTACTAAAAAAATACAAAAAACTAGCTGGGCGAGGTGGCGGGCGCCTGTAGTCCCAGCTACTGGGAGGCTGAGCAGGAGAATGGCGTAAACCCGGAGGCGGAGCTTGCAGTGAGCTGAGATCCGGCCACTGCACTCCAGCCTGGGTGACAGAGCGAGCCTCCGTCTCAAAAAAAAAAACAAAAAAAAGAAAAAAAAAAAAAAAGAAAAGGAATTATGGCAACTCTTATAATTTAGCGTTTTATAAGCCTGCATTATCTTTATAACAAAACACAATTATTTTAAGGAAAAAAGTCAAGACAAAAGTTATCACATAATTCAATTAAAAATTTGCCTTTGAAGAAAAATTTCACATTGCTGAAACTTTTCCTATCTCATTCTAGTAGCACTGCTATTTCTGTGTTTAAATACTTTAGAAAAGTTATTTGAACTTATTTAAAACTTCTCAAAAGGCAAGAAAGGTTTCCTACTTAAATTTATTTTGGCTACAAAAAGTCAAATTGTCAAATTTTTAAAAATGCACACAGGTCATAAAAATATTCTCACAGAAACTGAGTCCATTTACATATGAAGAAAATAAAACTTGCCATATATAACTGTGGTAAGTATGCCTGGGTCCTGCAAAAACCATAAGACTCTACCTGATGCGGTCATACTGAGTCCCCTGCCAGACATGTCAGTGCTCTATCTCAATACATGACTGAGATTTTCCTAAGTGTTTTTCCGTTTTGTCCTTCTGTGTTCCCTACTTCTGCGACACCATCAACCACATAGTTAACTAGGTTGAAAATCTTTCATTCAGCCTTCACTCCTCTCTTTCCATGGCCTAGCTCGTGGAATCTTTTCCCTAATCCTATTGATTCTGTCTACTTAATTTATTTTGCATTCAAATCCCTCTCCACTCCCACTAGAAGCCACAAGGCTAGATTAATTTTAAAACCCTAGAGACCTCCACATTACCTATCTCTTCCCCACTCATAATTAAGACTGTCTGACAAACTCTTTTAAAAATCATTCTGTGCCAGTTCCCAGACCATACCAATGGTTCTCAACAATGGCCTACAGCAGGAGTCAGTAAATATTTATTCTCTGGCCTTTTACAGAAAATATTTTAGGTCTTGATGACCATACTGTCTGTCACAGTGACAACGCTGTCGCTGTGCTGCAAAAGCCACCACAGACAACATGTAAACAAATGAGCACAGCTGCATTTCAACAAAAAACTTTTTGCAAAAACAGGCAGTGTTACAAGCCACAGAATCCATCATCTTGAGTCTCAACAAGAAGCAAAAGCTCCCATATAGCCAAAAAAGAAAGCAACAGAAGTGCTCCCTAACCCTGTCATTGAGCCCTGATCCTTTATCATTATAGGCATAAACTTCAGTGAAAAATTATAATCATCCAAACTATCAGCAGCACAGAAGTAGTTTCACACCTGACAATTCTTTCATCATATCTTCACCTGAAACATATGTCTGTATTTCCAGAGATAATTAACACCATAAACCAATACTATGGATCCACTCCTAACCACCCACCATCAAAACACACACACACACACACAGTTAAAAGTACCCACTTACCCAGCTGACCTTGCACAACAGATTATGATAAAAATTGCAATGAATTGATTAAAATTATTTTATAAATTTTGGAGGGAGGGAAAGGGAGTTAGTTGGCATAAAATGAATATTATTTTAACAGCTAAATATTGAACCATCCTGGCATTGCTGGGATAAATCCCACTTGATCATGGGGTATTTTTGTTGTGCTGTTGGAAAGAAAATAAGTGTATCAACGGGATACCTATACTTCCATGTTTACTGCAATACTATTTATAATAGCAAATATATGGAACAAATCTAAGTATATATCAACAGATGAATGGATAAAGGAAATATGGAGTACATATATAATGGAATATTATTCATCCATAAAAAAGAAGGAAATCCTGTTATTTGCAACAACAAAATAGTTAGAACTGGAGGTTATTAGGTTAATGACATAAGCCATGCACAAAAAGACAGTATCAGATGATCTCACTCACATCTGGGAGCTAAAAAGGTTAAAGGTGCCAGGAACAGGGGCTCACACCTGTAATGCTAGCATTTTGGGAGGCTGAGGCAGGTGGATGACGAGGTCAGGAGTTCAAGACCAGCATGGCCAAGATGGTAAAACCCTGTCTCTACTAAAAATACAAAAATTTGTGGGGCACG